ACAGCTGTCAATACAGACCATCTCTGGTTCCATATCTTTATTAGCAACTACAAATTGACCATAGATGAGATCTCCAACCTATAAGACATTAAAAGAATAACTGAATCCTCTCAGCATGCCATGCTACAAAAGCTGCTACTGGCTCTTTTTCATAGGCAGCAATACCAGCATCCTATAGTTGGCTATTGGGCTGATTATACCCTAGGATTCCACATTGGAGTTGAGTCTTCAAAGGCAAAATTAATACATGTAACCCTCCCTTCACCCTCCAAGAAATCATTAGAGTAGGAATCATCTCAAAGCCAAAGAATACTCTTCAACATTGTGTTGCTCAATATGGTAACCAGTACCCATGTATTTATGTAAATTTACATTTAAGTTAATTAAAATTAGATATTTGAAATTCAGTCCCTCGGTTGTATTAGCCACATTTCAGATGCTCAACAGCCCTGTGTAACTAGGAGCTACCGTATTGGTGCAGATGTAAAATAGAACCATCATATAAAGTTCTATTAGCACTATTCTGAATAATTACGGATTTATAGAGAAGAAGGAAAAACCTGGCGTGCAAATTATTATAGAACAGTGGTAATTAACAGATACTTCTCTATACATGATTTGCTTAAAAACCTCACAGAACTGAATTTCAAAATGATGAAACTAAGGAAATGAGTGTGTCACATTAGATTGGATAGAGAGAAAGGATGGGAGAGGAGAGGAGGAGTAGGGAGGATAGGAAGGGCAGCAGAATAAAATAGACAATATGATTGATGTATGTACATTCCATTTATGTATTATATGTCAAAATACATTCTGCAGTCATGTATGTCTAAAAAATAAAAATAAAAATAAATCGTATGGTAAAAAGAAACTAAGGAAATGGAGAATGAATTGTTTTCTTCTCAAAATGTTTATTAAGTACCTATTGTTTGCTGATGACTACAAGAACCAGAGAGGAACAAAACACTTTTTGTCTTTCAGAAGCATTTAATCTTGGAGGACAGAGGGAATAGACACGTAAACAACAAAATTCCTTCAGGGCTAAATGTCTACCTGCCAGGGCAGATATAAAAGTGACAAATAGCAATAGCTTTACAGAGGTGGTATGTTTAGCCTTGGCCTCAAAGGATGAGCATGTGTTCTACAGACTGAGGAGATAATCATATCCAGTCAGAGGGAACAGCATGAGCAAATGTACAAGAGCAGGAAATAATTCATTTATGTTTGTATGGGTTAAGCATGGCTGTATGATGGATATAATATGGATGAGAGAAGCGAATAATGCCAAGGAGTTCTGCAGGCTTTGAAGAATCTTTAAAAATTTTTTGTTTTTCAAGAAAGGGAGCATGTGAAGATGTCATTTCTCAAAAGCCTGAATGGAGGGGTAAAAGTATATAAGCAGGAATGTTAATGAGGAGACTACTGACTGAGTCCTGCCAAAAGAAAGCTGACATCTGAACTTATGAAGTGGAGATAAAGATCAGAGAGTCAAAGAGAATCAAAATAGGGTTAAATAACTATGACTTATAAGAGGTGGATGGAAAGGTGAATAGAAGTCAAAATTTCTGGCTGGGTAGACATAAGAATACAGCTATAGTATCTAAAAAGCCCAAACTGAAAATCTGCAATAACAAGTTTACTCCTAAATCAGCTCTAAGGACCTCTAAGCAAGATGGATGGCTGACAATGTTAATGATTTGCCTTTCCTCCTGAAGCCTATGGCTGATATCCCTGTGCAGTAGATATGGACATGACATATAACAATGGAGAAAACAGATATAAACTTTTAACTCAATAGAGATCAAATATCACAAGAACCAATGTAGTGGCTCTGGTCTGGCACTGGATAATCTGAAGAACTCTTGGAGCCTAGGACATTAAGCAGATGCTTAGAGTCTATCCTGTAGAACTAGGAAAATAGTTCATGCTTTGGAGACAATTCAGGTAGCCTTTGGGGCAGATAAGTATTCTGAGAAATGGATATTTTTCTTACTATTGAAACCAAATAATCCCATCATTACCTGCACATTTGGTCTGTTTCTTTTAGTTGCACCTTCAAATGCCAAATAAGACAAAGAAGCTGGTTCACTCCCTCCAACATCAACTTTGAATATATCTCCAGATTTAGCAGTCACTATGCCAATCACATGGTCTCCTTTCACTGGTACATACTACAAAAAACATCAGAACAAACAGTCATAAACAACAAGGAATCAATGGAAGATATCTTCATTAAGTCCTTAGTCCTTGTTTTTCATTAAAGAGATGTTTAAAATATTTTAAAATTCAAGTTTACAAACTCATATAAGTCTTACATAAAACTGATACTATTTCAATAAAAGAAAATCACAACATGACTCTTGGGTTTGCAGGGTTTTTTGTTTTTTCCGCTCTCCCCCCCCCACCAGCCCCCTTAGTACCCTGTAGTACTAGAGATCAAGTGCAAGGGTCTTTTATCTGGGACCTACATCCCCAGGGCAATCCTCACCCCCTTTTGAGGCCAGGTCTCACTGCGTTGCAGAAGCTGGTCTTGAACTTACAATCATTCTGCCTTGGCCTCCCAAGATGCTGGGATTACAGGTGTGCACTACAGCACCTGGCAGGGTCTACCTTGCACAGGCTCATCTCAAATTCCTGGCTCAGATGATACTCATACTTCACCCTCCTCTGTAGCTAGGACAACAGGCCCGTGCCCCCAGCCCGGCTTTGCAGTCTCTGACAGTCTTGTTAATTTGAGGCAGTATCCCATACTTAAGCATTATTACCAAAAAGCCCTAACTTCTGTTGCACGCAGGAGCAGTAAGTAGCACAGGTATGCTTAAAGCCAAGGAAGACCATTCCATTATCAAGACAAATTTTTCTATATAAAAGTTCTTAATTATTCTAAGAGCATTTTAACTCCCTGTGACTTCCATTCACTGAGGCTGGTCCTGCCATCTGGGATTCCAAAGGCAAGCCTACAGCTTCTTGACCTTTGGGTTTTGAAGACAATCATGACACAGGGTCTCTAGAGGCTTTCTCTCCTGATCGCTCTTCTCAAGCAACGTTTCTATTGTTCGTAGTCCCTCTAAAAAGGACAGAGGTAAGCAAAATACTACGATGCCTCTAAGCGAACCTTGACAAAATGAGGGCTCCAGGGCCCCGGCCCTGCTTCTTCCAGGAAGTCACCTAAGCGCAGGATTAGACTTTCACTACCGCCCCGCCCCTCCGAAGTCTCAGCTCACCCGCTTCTGTTGCGAGTCCACCCAGTAAACACCACCACTGCTGCCACTCCCGGGGTCCTTGTGACGGAGACGGCCACACTTTGTAACCAGCAGGCGGTCTCCGCAGCGCCGCAAGCCGGGGCCACACACTACACGTAACCGCGAGCGCGTCCCAGCATTAAGGCGCAACGGTCGCTCCCCCGCACCACCAGGGCCTTCCACATCCTCCTGTTCCGGCAGCAGCAGCTCCTCACCCGGGAGCACCACTTGATCGAGTACTGTGCGCGCAGCTCGTGCCCTGCCACCCGCGAGAGATTCAGCCGCAAACTGCACGGCTTCAGCCATTCTGAAGCGGCCACCAACCGCCACTTCCGGTTCCCCGTTTCCGTTTCCTGCCCCTCCTCCAATCCCCAATGCCCTCAGGGTCTTCCGTTTCCGTCAGTTGCGGTCCCTGGGTCTTGGACCTTAGTCCTTATTTCATAGACCTTAGTCTATGAAATTTGGTCTTTTTCAGCCTGGCGGTCCACCCTCGCCTCTTCCAAGTGGTAGTGGTAGTGACTGTGTATCTAACCGTTCATCCATCTTGCAGTCTGTCCGCGGGCCAGTATTAGAAATGCGTAGCTCGAGTAGATTGAGAACCCCAGGAGCTGTGCAGAGGGACGAAGTCAAACTTAAGTTGGCTGGGCCCAGAGGCCCTCCCTGTCGACTTCGTGCTCAGAAAGGCAGCTGGCTTTTCACCAGAAATTTTTTTTTCTTTTTCAAAATAAAACCTTTTTGGTTGTTTCCAGAGTGAAAAACAGAATAAAATCAAGAAATGATTTATTGGTCTTGCCCATTTGACTTGCTGTGCTGTCAGCTGTAGTTCTAAGTCTGTATGGTGGTCTGACATGAATAGACAATTCTTGACTGGTGTAACACATATCTTTCTCGCTAGACCCTCTCCAAATATAAATAAAATATGTTACCTTTTCATATACATGAGTTATCCCTACATGGCTAACGAAAAGTAACGAAGAAAGTAACGAAGCCTTGTTGCTTCGTACTGCCCACGTGAGCAATTGCTCAAATTTCCCCGCAGTGGTGAGAGCTCCTGGAGATGGAGAGGGCGGACTCTGACCCATGTCTCTTAGCTACTGCCCATATCTTTGCTTCCAACGTGAATTTTTAGATTTTTATTTTTTTATTTTTAAGATAGACATCACTAACACCTCCTCCAAATTTGACAAGATGCTGTAGAGCCATTTTCTCTTGGAGTAATAAAAGGTCAACTGAAATAAAACTTGTTTTGCAACCAGATTGTTGAAATAGCTGTTCTTATTTAATCACCCTGGCAGGAGTGGGAGTTCATTGGGCAGAGATGATATGAACTGCACTTGTCTACTTCCCCACTCCATCTCAACTCCAGAGGGCCTGGAACCAGCAGGTAGGTACTGATGACCAAGCTCACATAGATTAAGGCTGATTCAAAGTTATGCCTGAGGCACCCTCAGGCAATAACCTCAAGTCCCACTGAGGAAACAAGGGAGGTTGGTAATATTCCCTGAACAGTCCCTCAGCGTCTCCCCCCGCCCCACGATTATTAGTAGAGACTGAGGCTTATCAAGCCCACAGTCCTGTGGCACCGGGTGATCTACCCAGCTAGCTTCGAAGGCAAAGCAGGTGAGCAGTCACCCGACACCGGAAATACGGGGGCGGAGCACCAGCGCCTCGCGGGCACCGCCCAACCCTACGCCCAGAGGGTCCATCACACCGGAAGGCTGCCTGCTCACACTGGAGTGCCGAGTGCCAAGCACCGCCATGTCGGTGCTTCGCTGCCTCGGCGCCTTGAGGCAGCCGGTGAGTGGGAGCGCGCGGGGCAGGGAGGCGGAATTCCTCCCGCGTGCAGCAGGTGGGATCCCGAGGTCCTGGGATCTGTGGGCGGCTCCGGGCTGCCTCCTTGGACTTAAAGGCGCGTAAGCCTGCCCTATTTTCCGATGGGTTCGCAGTTATAGTTCACATTTTGGAACAACACGTGTTCCCTTTTCTGGTGGTAAAAGTGGCCGCGGTGATTGAGAAATAGAAAATCCGAGGCTGTTGGCCGGTGGATGGCCCAAGTGGATTAGGCCTATTCTCTCCTAGAGGCTCGTGGTTTTGGAGCCCTGCAGTCAAGACCAATGCGCCCCGATACCTCTGGCCTTCATCTACTCATAGCGAGTATTTCCTGCAGGAAATGACCAAAACCTTCCAGATTCTTTTCCAGAAATTACTTTTCAGAAATTTTTGCTACTTTAGGAGTTGGAAAGATGACATYTCACAGTTGTTTTTCACTGCTTACTGGCGAAGTTGGGCTTTTTTTTGGCTTTCAAAGCTTTTTTTGCGCATTTGCTCCGAATAGAAATTGGGCAGGCAGCTGAATCCTGGTCCCATTGTCTTTACCAGCAGATACCCAGTGCTATGGGGCTGGGAAAAAAAAAAAAAAAAAAAACACAAAACTGATTAGAGCATCCTCCCACACCCAGTACAGAGGATGAAATGGTTCTCTCTACATGCCTGGGTTTGGGGGTTAGGGATCAAGATACATGTCCTAAAGGAGGCAAAAGAAAGAAAGGGCTGGGGCTGTAGCTCAGTGGCAGAGCACTTGCCTTGCATGTGTGAGGCACTGGGTTCGATCCTCAGCACCACATAAAAATAATCAAATAAGGGCTGGTGTTGTGGCTCAGAGGTAGAGTGCTCACCTAGCTTGTGTGAGGCACTGGGTTGGATCCTCAGCAGCACATAAAAATAAAGATATCCACCTATAATTTAAAAACAAACATAAAAAATAAATAAACCAATAAAATAAAGGCCTTCTGTCTATCTACAACTATAAAAAAATTTAAAAAGAAAGAGCTTAAAATAGTAAAAACTGCCTATGAACATCATGGGTCATGATCCTATTATTGGATTATACACATTGAGTGCTTTCTATATACCAGGCCCAAACATATAGGAGGACATGAAAAAGCATAGTGTTTATCAGAATATATTCAAGAGAAAAAAAAAACACAGTACTTTGAAAAGGAAAGATTAATTTAAAGAATTACTAGAATAGGGCATTAGAATAATGAGGTAATGGCTAGTAAGAATTAAAGGGAGCATTAAAGAGTACAAGAATGAGCCAGGTACAGTGGCACATGCCTGTAATCCCAAATACTTGGAAGTCAGAGGCAGAAGGATCATGTTTGAGGCCAGCCAAAATAAGGAGGACTGGGAATGTAGCCCAGAGGCATAGCACTCCTGAGTCCAATCCCCAATACTACAAAGAAACAGAACAGGAATATCAGATATAAGAGAATGACCATTATACCTCTGTTGTGGAGATGTAATATGCAAAGAAGAGCTCTATCTCTCCCCAGGTAGCAGTGATCAAGATCTTTTGGGAACAGGTATGGCCGGCCATGGCTCATTAAATAGCAGCAAGTGACTGGGGATATGCCAGCAAAACTTTACACAAGTCTACCCTCCAGAACTTTGCTGAAGAAATGCTGAAGACAGTTATTCATTGGAAGGGAGCTCCTGGAAGCCTCTGCCACAAAGCTGCCCAATAGAGTGCCAGGGAAAACTTGGCTGCTGGGTGTTTTGGGTTTCCAAGCAAAGCAGAAGCAGGCACCGGAGAAGCTGCTGCTACAGGAATACTACTTAGTATGTTTTGTCAGGAAGAAAATCCCATTTCTCCTGCAGTGCCTCTAGCTTATTGTCATGATAGCAACAGAAAAAAAAATATTTTAAAGCTCAAATGCATTTTCTAGAGCAGGCAGTGAAGGTGATTTTGGTGTTGAGAGGCAGTACACTGGTGAGGTTTATGAGCCAACTCATCAGTAACAGCAATCAAATGAAGTCTTCCCGGGCTCAGATGGTTTCACTGGTGAATAATATCACACATTTAAAAAAGAATCTCTAGCTGGGCACAGTAACACATGCCTGTAACCCCAGCAGCTTGGGAAASTAAGGCAAGAGGATCTGAGTTCAAAGCAGCCTCAGCAGCGGGGAGGCACTAAGCAACTTAGTGAGACCCTTTCTCTAAATAAAATACAAAATGGGGCTGAGGATGTGGCTCAGTGGTCTAATGCCAAAGTTCAATAAAAAAAAAAATCTCAGGAGTTTCAGATAAAGCATTTGACAAATTGTGATTTAAAATAAACTGGGATTAGAAAGGAACTTTCTTCACCTGATGAAGGTCATCTGTGAAAAACCCGCAGCTAATATCATATAAATTACAATTAAAAAGTTCACTGAGGTTTTAGAATTCAAGAACAATATACAAAATTCAATTGTATTTCTATTCGTTTGAAATGAACAACCCAAAAATGAAATTTTAAAATCCCATTTATAGTAGTACAAAAAATACTACTATAAAATATTTCATATAGATGGGATTGAATAATATATAGTTTTTGGTCTGACTTCTTTCACTTAATTTTTTAAATTTTGTACATATTTGTAGCATGTAAAGAGAATAAAACATTTCAGAATAAATTTAACAAAAAGACATACCAAATTTATACTCTGAAAACTTACAAAACATTGTTGAAATAAACAAGATGCAAATAGCTGGAAATGTACCCTATGTTCAAACATGAGGAGAGTCAATATTGTTAAGACAATGATACTCTCCAACTTTGTGTAAAGATTTGACCTAGTCACAGCCACAGTCCCAAATGGCTTTATGGCAGAAACTGACAAACTATTCCTAAAATTCATATGAAAATTTAAGGGATCCAGAATACCAAAACAATGTTTAAGAAGTTGAAGGATTTACGTTTCTTTTTTTTTTTTTTTTAAAGAGAGAGTGAGAGAGGAGAGAGAGAGAGAGAGAGAGAATTTTCAATATTTATCCTTTAGTTCTCGGCGGACACAACATCCTCGTTGGCATGTGGTGCTGAGGATCGAACCTGGGCCGCACGCATGCCAGGCGAGCGCGCCACCACTGAGCCACATCTCCAGCCCCAAGGATTTACGTTTCTGATTTCAAAATTTTACCAAAGGTCTACAATAATTCAAGACAGTGTTTTTCCTGGAATACTCATTAGACATAGATCAATGGAATAGAATTAAGATCATAGAAATAAACCTTATACTTAATGCTCAATTGATTTTGGGCAGGGATGCCAAGATGATTCAGTGGGGGAAAAACAGTGTTTTCAACAAATGATATTTGGAAAACTAGGTAGCTACATGCAAAAGAACAAAGTTGGACCCATATCAAACTAAATACAAAAATTATCTCTAAATAGATCAACTCTAAAAATTAGAACTAAAATTATAAAACTCTTGGAAGAAAACAGAGACAATTCTGATGGTAGTTTCTTAGATATGACACTACCAAAAACACAAGCATCAAAAGAAAAAAACAGAAAAATTAGACTTCATAAAATTAGAACAGAAAACCCAATGGAATGGGAGAAAATATATGAAGAATCATAACTGATAAAGGACATGTATCTAGAATATATAAAGAACATTTAAAACTCAATAATAAAGATATAAATTTCTCAATTAAGAAATGGGGAAAGGACCAAAGATATTTCTTCAAATAATAGATAAATAGCCAATAAAAGCACAAAATATGCTTATATTATTAGTCATCCAGTAAATGTAAAATAAAACCATAATGAGAAACTGTCTCAACCCCACTAGGAAGCAATTATAAAAAAGACTGTTTTATAATATTTGTCACTCTAAAAGATCCTTTGTACCCATTTGCAATCAATTCCTTTCCTACCCCAGCCTTACCCAACTGCTAATTTAGTTTCTGTCTCTGTAGTGTACCTCTTTTGAGTGTTTCATATAGATGGGATTTAATAATATAAAGTTTTTGGTCTGGCTTCTTTAACTTAATTTTTAAAATATTGTACATATTTGTAGCATGTATTAATTCATTTCTTTTAAATTCTGAATAGTAGTATATTGTATCGGCACACCACATTTTGTTTATCCATTCATGAGTCTGTGGACTTTGGGGTTCTTTCTCCTTTTTTGTTATTAATGCTATGATTATTTTTATACAAGTCTTTGTGGAGAGCTATATGTTCATTTGTACTGGATAGATAGGTACCTAGGAGTAGAAATGCTGGACTATATGATAAATTTACATTTAGCTTCTTAAAAAAACTTATCAAATTTCTCTAAAACAGCTGCACCATTTTATATTTTTATCGGCATTGTATACAGGCCCAGTTTCTCCACATCTCACAGTTTTTATTGTCTGTCTTTTTGATTACAGCTATGCTAGTGGGTATGAAATATTATCTCATGGTTTTAATTTGCATTCCCCTAATTTCAAATGATGCTGAGCAAGTTTTCTTGTACCTAATGGCCATGTGTGTGTCTTTTTTTTTTCTTAATTTGTTTTAATACTGGAGATTGAACCCTGAGGCACTTTCACCACTGTGCTACATCCCAGCCAGTTTTCTTTCTTTCTTTCTTTTTTTTTTTTTTTTTTTTTGCAATTTTGAGGCAGGGTTTCACTAAGTTGCTTAGGGCATTGCTAAATTGCTGAGGCTGGCCTCAAACTTGCAACCTCCCTCAAAGTAGGTGACCACAAGCCACATTTTGAATTTTCACATTCAGCTTCTCTTGAAAATATATAAACTTGTATTCCCTCATGGTAGCTGAGCCATGATTTCCCCCAGTGGAGAGAGATATGGTAGTTCTGTTACTTCAGCCTTGCATTGCTGTGACAAAATTCTTGAGATAATCAACTATAAGAAGATTTGTTAGGGCTCATAATTTCAGAGGTTTCAATCTGTAGCCTGTGGTGAGGTGAGGCAGTACCTCTTGGCAGGCAGCACTTTTGTGAGAAAATCTGCTCACCTTGTGGCAGCCAGGAAGCAAAAAAAAAAAAAAAAAAGGAAGGACCAGGGTCCCAATGCGTCCTTCATGGGCATGCCATCAGTGACCTAACTTCCTTCCAATAAACCCCACCTCCTAAGGGTTCTACTACCTCCCAGTAGTGCCACAGGCTGACTACTAAACCTTTAACAAATAAGCCTTTGGGGGACATTCCAAATCCAAACTATAGCAGTAGTTTAGGGACAGCGCCTGTGAGGCTCCATCAATAAGCCTAGTGAAATACTCACTCAACAAATAAAAGTTGTACTTTTTATTGATATTACAGTTACTCACAGTTCAGAATTAAAATGTTAAAAAGTATTTAGGGGAAAGTGGGGACAAGACCTGAGATTTATAGATGGACTTGGATTTAGAGGTTTTAAAGAAATAGTGCTGAGTTACCATCCTTGGCAGTGTGCTTGTACATGCAGTACTGTACATGATTCTGAGTGAGAACTCTGGAGCTGGATGCCTGGCTCTGAATCCATGCTCTACTAGTTATACACTTGGTAACTTTTTTATGCCTATGCTTTCCCATTTCTAAAGTGGAGAGAATAACAGAACCAAGTTAACTTGAGTTTTGAGTAAATATATATAAAGCAACTTAGAATACTCTTAGCTGTTCTAAGCATTATATGAGTATTTTCTGTTTATTTTTAAAACAAGGTTATATGGGCTGGGCACAGTGGCACACACCTGTAATCCCAGTGGCTTAGGAGACTGGGGCAGGAGGATCAAGAGTTCAAAGCCAGACTCAGCAATTTAGTGAGGCCCTAAGCAACTCAGCAAGACCCTGTCTTTAAATAAAATACAAAAAGTGCTGGTGATATGGCTTAGTGCTTAAGTTAGTTAAGCCCAGGGTTTAACTCTGGGTTCAAACCCTGGTACGCCCCCCCCCCAAAAAAAACACAAAGTTATATGGTAGGAGTACTTTACTCCTTAAGTCCATTGTTTCCTTTGAATTATAGAAGTTGAAGGACCCATTTGCTTTCTTGGTTTCATTCTGATTTTTCTTGTCAGTGCATGACTCTGTTTCAGGCATTATTAAATCATTCCACATGGAAACTGAAACCGACAAGTTGTTCCGATACCTCCAGGTACCTCTGCAACAAGGCCCCAGGAAATCTGCCAGGAACAAGTCTTGTCTCCTAGTTCAGTATCTTTTTATCTATCTGCATCTCTTTCTATTAACAACTTTCTTGTTTTATAAATATTTTTTTTAGTTGGACCCAATACCTTTATTTATTTATTTTTATGTGGTGCTGAGGATCGAACCCAGTGCCTCACATGTGCAAGGCAGGTGCTCTACCATTGAGCCACAGGCCCAGTCCTTAACAACTTTCTTCCTCCCATCTACCTTGAGTCTTTTCTCCCCATCATAGCTGCTGCTTTCGCACAATTTCTGCCTCTCACTCCTTTGATATGCTCATGATACATCATGATTCCACCTGGCCTTACTCTGCTTTATGACTTTTCAGCCCCAGATGTCATTGTCAACTGCCTCACTTTTGGTTTCCCAGTCCAAATCCACTGTAGTATAAGTATGAAGCAGAGCATTTTTCCCTGGCAGCTTCAGAGACTAGTGGATTTGGCCTAGTGACTTGGATATTTGCACCACACTGGCTAGAGGATATAGAAAGCTGAGGTAACAGAGGTATAAAATTTCATAGCCTAGACTTTACTCGTAGGGAGAACATTGCTGGCACAAAGATGAAGTGTCAGATATGAACATCAAAGAGGCAGGCTCTTACAGTAGGTGGCATTCATGGAGAGTTCCCACGTGGTGTATTATTCAACATTCTCCAGAGAAACAGAACCAATAGGAGACAGATATAGATATAAAAGGACACCTAAATTGAGACTGGGTCACAATTATAGAGCATTTCCACTATCTGTAGTTTGCAAGCTAGAGAACCCGGAAAGAAGGTGGCATAATTTCATATAAGTCGGAAGGCCTGAGAACCAACAAAGCTGATAATGTAACTCCCAGTCCAAGTCTGAAGGCTCAGAACTGAGAATGGGAGCCACTGAGAACCAGTATCTGTGATGCCTAAGGGCAGGAGAACTTGGGCATTCTAGTTTAAGAAGAAAGAGTGAATCTGCCTTCTTCTGCCTTCTTGTTCTGTTAGGGATCAGATAGGATGAGCCCTTCTAGTTAGTAAGGATGGATCTTCTTTACTCAATCTACTTATTCAAATGGCAATTTTTTTCTGTAAACACCCTAACAGGTGCACCCAGAAATAATGTTTTTTAAAAATATTTTTATTAGTTGTTGATGGATCTTTAGTTTAATTACTTACTTATGTGTGGTGCTGAGAATCAAACCCAGTGCCCCACACATGGTAGGCAAGCATCTACCACTGAGCCACAACCCCAGCCCCCAGAAATAATGTTTTAACAGCTATATGTTTGGGCATCTCTTAGCCCAGTAAGGTTGACACAAAAAAGTAACTGTCACGAGGGTGTGAGGGGAGCTGCCCAGATCTTTTCTGTGTATCTAGCATTTAAATATGTAAGCAGATGTCATTTGATAGGTCCACAGTGTACTAACTTAGCAAGGCCCTAAGCAACTTAATGAGACTGTCTCAAAATTAAAAATAAAAAGAATCTAGGAATATGGCTCAGTGGTGAAGCACCTCTGAATTCAATCTCCAATACCAAAAAAAGAAAAATTATTGAAAAATCAAATAAGCAGAAAATTTAAAAATAATTAAAAATGACACCCTATTCTAAACCTATAACATTTTATTTAATAAATATATAGAATTTGCTAAGTGCAAAGATCTATTTTATTTGTTTAATTGGGTTTTTTTTTTTTTTTTTTGGTGTTGGGGATCAAACCCAAAGCCTTATGCATGCAAGCAAGCACTCTACCAACGAGCTATATCCTCAGCCCCAAAGATTTATTTTAAAAGCTTTATATATATTAATTCATTAAATCATCACAACAGCTCTGTGATTTGGTATTATTTCATCCACACTTTACCAAAGAATAAACTAAAAGGACAGAAACAGGTTTTCACCCAAGCAGCCTGGCTTCAGATAGCCCTTTGTTATATTATCTTTCACAGCCTTAGGTTACCTAACTAGACTGAGCTTTCTAGAAAGGCATAATCTTTGATTTTCTTGTAGCATTCTTATAACTTTACATGATAAAAGGCATGAGAGGGCTGCCTAGTCAGATTTTTTCTGTTTCACCCTTTTCACTTAGAATAATGTGATTTTGTTACTTTTTTTTTCCCTTTTAAAAGACAGGACTACATAGTGGGAAGAACATAGATTCTAGAGTTAGGCAGTTCTGAATTTTAATCTAACTCAAACATTGAGCTCTATGTGGCCTTTCTCATTCTTAGTTTTCGTATCTGTAAAATGCAGGATTGCTGGGAGTATTGGAGAATATATGAAAAAAAGCAACTGGGTATAGGTGGGCACAGTGGCACACACCTGTAATCCCAGCAATGCAGGAGGCGGAGGCAGGAGGATTGCAAGTTTGAGAAACAACCTGGCCAACTTAGCAAAACCCTTAGTTACCTAGTGAGACCCTGTCTCAAAATTTTAAGACATAAAAAGAGTTGGGAAGTAACTCAGTGGTGGAGCACCCTAGGCTCAATCTCCAGTACCAAAACAAACACCTGGTACATATTAAGTGCTCATTATATAATAATTAATGTTGTTGACAGAGGATGACAAAATCCTGGCAATCACTTGATAGACTTTGAAAGAGCCACTAGAGCCATGAAGAACCCCAGGAGATTATGTTACTAATAGGAAGTACTAGGCTGGACTTTAACCAAGTATTGCAAATATAAATTACTTGGGCCACCATAACCCATTTCCACATCAGACATTCCTAACTGATTACAGCATTGTTTCAGGTTGGGCCCATGATCCTTTTCTGGATTCTCAAGGCAGTAACTTCTGATAAGTGGGAATTGGCCCAAGAGATGGAACCTGTTTTCCATTTCTCCTTTAAGCCCAGATATACATCCATTCCTTCAGTAACTCATCTCAACCTGTCTTTGTTTCCTTTCAGTCTTTTCTTCGCCTTGTGACAAGTAGAGTTTGGAACAGGTTGCCTGTCGTCACCCTGAACCTGCGTCTTTTTGAGGCTCAGCAGGAAGAGAAGTCCAAACCCATCAGTCGTTACCCTATTCCCTACAAGAAGGACCTGCCTTTTGACATTGTAGAGCTCATGGAGGAGATAGAAAAGAAGGTGAGACACACTTGGTGCAGGGAGTCACAGCCATTGCAGACCTTTGTCTACCTAAATGAAATCCCTGGTACTAATTGCCACAGCCTGTCCAACTGTCCAACTTCCCCACTGTGGAAGGACCCTTCCTTTGGGTCCTGTTGTATCTCATACTTTTTTCATTTCGGGTTCTGGGACTTTTCTTTATCATTCAGCTCTCTGCCCACCAGTGACTGAGGTGCACTCTATAGTTCTGTTTAGCACTGTAGTGTTGAGATAAAACCATTGGAATATGAGGAGTTGCTTAAACAAGTGTAACAGGTATCTTTTCTTTTCTTTAAAAATTATAATAAAAAATTACATGTTGAGCCAGATGTGGTGGTGCAGGCCTGCAATYCCAGTGGCTCAGAGGCTGAGGCAGGAGGATCACAAATTCAAAGTTAGCCACAGCAACAGCGAGGTACTAAGCAATTTAGCAAGACCTTGTCTTTAAATAAAATATTTTAAAAGGCTGGGTATGTGATTCAGTGATTAAGTGCCCCTGGGTTCAATCCCCAGTACAAAAAATAAAAAATTCCATGTTGAAGCCTGGGATGGTGATGCACACCTGTAATCCCAGTGAATTGGGCAGCTGAGGCAGGAGAGTTCCAAATTTGAGGCTGGCTAAGGCAGGGTGTTCCAAATTTGAGGCTAGCCCTAAGTAACTAGTGATACCATCTCAAAATTAAAAATAAAAAAGTCTGGGAATATGGCTCAGTGGCAAAGTGCCTCTGGATTCAATCCCCAACACCCCCCCCCCAAAAAAAAAAAGAAAGAAAAAGAAAAATTATTGAAAAAGTAGACAAAAAGCAGAAAATTTAAAAATAGTAAAAATATGATTCCACTTTACAAAGTCAACCACTATTAGCATCTTGGTGTTTTCTTCTTCCCTATTTTGTTTGTATAAATCTATATGTGTACTTTTTTAAGGCTGGGGTTGTGGCTTAGTGGCAGAGTGCTTGCCTAGCATGTGTGAGGCACTGGGTTCGATCCTCAGCACCACATATAAACAAAGATGTTGTGTCTGCCGAAAACTAAAAAATAAAAATACTAAAAAAAAAAAAAAAA